TGTTTCGTGAGTTCTATGTGGTGGACATAACAGGGGAGATACGTTAAGTTCTCAATGTCAAATATTATCAACCACTTGTGTATACTTTGGTCTTACAGGGGATTTTGAAAGTTGTGGTGGCCATTATTAAGGACATGCTTTGAGCGCCCTTGGATAACTGTTCATTTTTCCTTGAACTTGTGTTGTAATAGTTTCTTTTGTATAGCAATGTACTGTGCTAATGTTGATTTGTGTTTATTCGTTTTCAGAATAACAAATCTAATCATTAGAAGATCTTGGATTCATATTCATCTCTCGGATAATCAAATTATGTGTTTGGATATCTAGAATGTTTGAGTGCCCTTGGATAACTGTTCATTTTTCCTTGAACTTGTGTTGTAATAGTTTCTTTTGTATAGCAATGTACTGTGCTAATGTTGATTTGTGTTTATTCGTTTTCAGAATGACAAATCTAGTCATTAGAAGATCTTGGATTCAGATCCATCTCTCGGATAATCAAAAAATGTGTTCGGATATCTAGAATGTTTGAAGATACTTGATACAATGAATAAGAAAGTTGAGTATGATAAATCAAATTTCTTTAATGAGTTGTTCTTTATTATTATTGAATTAAGAGAGACTAAGAGACATTTAGGTTAAACCGTGTGTTATGAAAGCACTACGGAGACTTTATTATATATATATAGAGATTACAACTAATTACACTATATAATTGATGTGGGACTATTCTACATACAAATATTCTTAACATTATATATTTACAAATATCAACACTCCCCCTCAAGTTGGAGCATATAAGTCAAATGCACCAAGCTTGCCACATATATAATTAGTTCTGGGGCTTCGCAGAGATTTTGTAAACACATCTGCCAATTGATCATTAGAGTTGACAAAACTTGTGACGATGTCGCCAGATTCGATCTTCTCTCTGACAAAGTGACAATCTATCTCAATATGTTTGGTCCTCTCATGGAAGACTGGATTTGAAGCAATGTGCAATGCAGCTTGATTATTACATACAAGTGTCAATGATCTTGCTTCTTCAATTTTAAATTCTTTGAGCAACTGTTTTAACCAAATGAGTTCACATGTTGCCATTGCCATGGCCCTATACTCTGCCTCGACGCTTGATCTTGCAACTACATTTTGTTTCTTACTTTTTCAGGATATAAGATTTTCTCCAACAAGTACATAGTACCCAGAGGTGGATCGTCTATCAATTGGTGACCCTGCCCAATCAGCATCAGAGTATCCAATTATCTGAGTATGTCCTTTATCTTCATACACTAAACCTTTTCCTGGAGCACATTTGATGTATCTTAGAATTCGGATAACAGCATCCATGTGTTCCTGGCAAGGGAAATTTAAGAACTGACTTACCACACTGACTGCAAAAGAAATGTCTGGACGAGTGACTGTGAGATAATTCAACTTTTCAACCAATCTCCTATACCTTCCCGAGTCTGATAGAGGCTCCTCCTGATTGGATAGTAGTTTGACACTTGGATCCATAGGAGTATCAACTGGTTTAGCGTTCAACAAACATGTTTCTTCCAGAATATCCATAGCATATTTCCGCTGAGAAATCACCAAACCATCTTTAGATTGAGCTACCTCAATATCCAAGAAATATCGGAGTTTACCAAGATCCTTTGTCTGAAATTAATTTGAAGATGTTGTTTCAACTGGAGTATTTCCGACTCATCACTACCAGTTATGATAATATCATCTACATACACAATAAGATAAATACACCCTTGTACTGAGTGACGATAAAAGACAGAATGGTCAGCTTCACTGCAGACCATACTAAATTGTTGTACTACAGTGCTGAATCTGTCAAACCAAGCTCTCGGAGATTGCTTAAGACCGTAAAGAGACTTGTGTAGCCTACAAATCATATTCGATGACTCTCCCTGAGCAACAAATCCAGGTGGTTGCTCCATATATACTTCCTCTTCAAGATCACCATGTAAAAATGTATTTTTGATGTCAAGTTGATGAAGAGGCCAGTGTCGAATGGCTGCAATGACTAGAAGAAGTCTAACAGATGCCATCTTGGCTACAGGCGAGAAGGTATCACTATAATCCAATCTAAAAATCTGAGTGTATCCCTTAGCTACCAAGCGAGCTTTAAAACGATCAATCTTACCATCTGGACCAACCTTCACTGTATAAAGTCAACGACAACCTACTAAAGATTTTTCAATGGGTAGAGGAACCAGTTTTCAGGTACCACTGCTTTGAAGAGCACACATTTCATCAATCATTGCTTGCCTCCACTCAGGGTGAGATAATGCTTCACCTGGAGATTTAGGAATAGAAACAGAAGGCAAAGAGGACAAACAAGTATACTGCAAAGGGGAAAGACGATGATAACATAAATCAATATAATGTGGAGAAAGATTTCGTGTTTGACGTATACCTTTGCGAAGGGCAATCGGAAGATCAGACTCAGGTTGCAGGATCGAATCCGGTGATGGCGATAGCGTCGGAGGAGAGTCTGCAATGACCTCAGGGACAGGTACAACCTCAGGGACATGTACAACCTCAGGGACTGGTATGGTTGACGTTGGTTTACGATGCTGATATGTTTGAAGTGGACGAGAAGTGGGGGGGTCAACCGTAGGGGTTTTTCGTGGGACAAGTTCCCTGAAATGATGGAGAATAATGGGAAATGGGACGTCCGGAAGAGGCGTGGGAGTACTTTCCTGAAGGGGTTCCAGAGTGACTTGGGTGGACGTAAAATATGGCACAGACTCGAAGAAGGTAACATCGACCGATATCAGGTATCGTTGCAGAGTCTGTGAGTAGCAACGATAACTCTTTTTGGATCGATGATAACCAAGAAAGACACACTTTAGTGATCGAGCTGATAGTTTATCAAGACCAGGGGAGAGATTATGCACAAAACATGTAAGACCCGAAGACTCGAGGAGGAATTGGATGAAGAGGAGAGTTTGGAAACAAGATTGAATGAGGGATTTTATTATTAAGGACAGATGAGGGCATGCGATTTATGAGATAACACGCTGTGAACACAGCATCCCCCCAAAATCTGAGAGGGACATTACCATGGAGAAGTATAGTCCGAGTGGTTTCTACGAGATGCCGGTTTTTGCGTTCGGCTATCCCGTTTTGTTGAGGTGTATGAGGACAAGATGTTTGGTGTAGAATACCATTGGATGAAATAAAAGTTTGAAATTGTTAGGATAAATATTCACGAGCATTGTCACTTCTTAAGGTACGAATGGACAAACCAAATTGGATTCTTATTTCTCGATAAAATTGTTCAAAAATAGAAAATAATTCAGATCTGTTTTTCATTAAAAATAGCCACGTGCAACGTGAAAAATCATCAATAAATGTTACAAAATACCTAGACTCAAAAGTAGACACAGTTGGCGATGAACCACAAACATCGGAGTGAACTAAAGCAAAAGGAGACGCAGCCCGTTTATTGACTCGATCAGGAAAGTGACTACGAGTATGTTTCCCTAATTGACAAGACCCGCACTATAAAGTGGATAATTTAGATAAACTGGACACCAACTTTTGTAGCTTGGGAAGACTTGGATGACCTAACTGCGCATGTATAATGAGTGGAGAATTTGTGGTGAAGCATGTGGTAGATGACGTAGAGAAGTAGTAGAGGCCTTGAGACTCACATCCGACGCCAATCGTCTGTCCCGAACTTCGATCCTGCAGAATAACATCATTGTTAGTAAAAGTGATAGAACAATTAAGGGAACGAGTTAAACGACTGACTGACAGTAGATTAAATGGGCAATTAGGTACATATAGGACAGAAGTAACAAAGAGAGATGGTAGAATTTGAACAGTACCGATCCTTTGGGATCGGGTTTGAGAACCATTTGCGGCAGTTATACTCGGTAAGAAACCAGAGGTAGAAAGGGAAGAGAAAAGATTTTTATTACCAGTAACATGATCAGACGCACCAGAGTCGAGGACCCAAGGACCAAGAGGAGATGATTGAGAGACGCAAACAGATGAATTACCAGTGTGTGCAAACGAAGCCGTGGAACCAGAGGTCTGGTTAGTCTGACACCACCTGAGAAAATCCTCGTAGCTTGGCGTAGGGTTCTGAAGAGAAGGTGAAGTCTGTATAGTGTACGACTTTTCGAGAGTACGACTTTCTGTGAGTCGAAAACGAAAGCCGAGGGCGGATCTGGAACCGGAGGAGGAAGGCGATTTTCCGGAATTTTTTTTTTTCGTGAACAGTAGCGGCGGCGGCGAACAGTAGTCCTCCAAAAAAAAAATTTTTTTCTTGGACTGTGCTTGGCAGAGGTCGCTGGAAAAAAAAAAGGTGAGGCAAACCGGAATGATGACACGGTTTGCAGAAGAAAATTTCTTACCGGAAGACAGTGGGTCAATCGGGTAAAGCACGGCGAAGAATTGCCTCTTAAAAGGCTCTAGATACCATATTGAGTTAGGAGAGACTAAGAGACATTTAGGTTAAACCGTGTGTTATGAAAGTACTACTAAGAGACATTCTGGTCTTTCTGGTTTCTTGACTCTTAGGTTTGATTTTGTTCTTGGCTTTTATCGCCATACATGTGAATTGAACTATAACTTTTATGCTGTGTAGTGTGGAGTAACATTCTGTGTAGTATCGATCCTCTCTTAAGGGTTCTTACCATCAATACTACTTTTCTCTTGCAAATGATTGTTGTACATTTGGGTTTTTGTTTCACGGTGCAAAAATTTACAAATTGGCGGGCCTCTCTATGTTATGATGTTAATCTGCGACTTGGTTTAGAGAATTCTTCCATATTATTTCTTTATTATTGGTTCTTTTTCTACAACATATTTGTCACAGTTAACTCTCTTATTGACAGAGTAAGATTCTTTGCCACCAAGTTTGCTCTACAACAAAAGTTTTCTAATTATTCACTCGCTGACCTTTTTAGTTGGTCTATATTGGTGAAATGGGAGACTACCATGATTTTGCTGTATTGGTACTGGTGTATAGTGGAGAAATGGGAGACTTCTCTATACACGATTTTGCTGTATTGGTACTGGTCTATAGTGGAGAAATGGGAGACTGTTCTGTACACGATTTTGCTGTATTGGTACTGGTCTATAGTGGAGAAATGGGAGCTCTCTGTACACGATTTTGCTGTATTGGTACAAATTATCAACTTTTGCAGGCTGTGTGTCGGACACCCCCCACTACTTATGCACTTTAATCTGGTCATCACTACTTTAATCTTGCATGTGGAGTTTCTCATATATACTTTCCATTCAGCCTATATTGTGTCTTTGTTTCAGGATAGTTGTCCTCTTGAGAATAAGGAATTCCTTAGTGTTTGGCACTTTTTTGTTTATTTTTTTTGGGATAGTTGTTCCGCTGTGTATATCTGATATATTAGACTGACAATTAAAAATCTAGTACACCTCTTTTCCTCTCCTAATCTAATGGGCATCCCTCACTTTCTTTGTTATAAATTATTTACATCCCTTATTTGATTTATGGGAATAACAGTCTTCTCCGTTAAAATTGGTATCTTACACAGTGGGGAAGTCTAAATATATCAAAAAAAAATGAAGCATACAAAATTAGATGTACATCTTAAGGAGGTTAAGGAATTTTGGACAAACCTGGCTTTGCACTTTATTGTTGGGGTTGTTTTGCGAATGTTGATCCATCTAGCCGACCCCCAGACCCCACTTAGTCGGATAACTTATAAATGGTTGTTCTACTTTTAGGTTTTTTTATTCAGACTGTGTAGAAGTTTTACATGATTTTGGAGACATCTCGACATATTGGCGGGCATCACTCTGATATGCTGATCTTCAACTTGGTTTAGAAAATTATTCCGTATTCTTTGTTTCTTCTTGGTTCTTTTACACAACCTATCGGTCAGTTTAATTATTCCATCAAGTTTACTGTACAACAAGTTTCATAATTCTCAATCATACTCACCTTTTATATAGAAACGGGAGATAAGTGTCTTTGCTGCTTTGTGTCAACTATTTTCTATGAATAAACTAACAAGGATATACATGATCCAAAACCTTCTGCTAGCTGGGGTTATATTATCTATTGATTCATTTTATCTTTGTGATATTTGAAGGTATATGTATTTCTTTAGTGATGAAGCTTTATTGTTTTTCTCTATCCATAACTTGAGTTTTGCTCTGATTCAGCATACTAGATTTGGGAGTAACTTTGCTTTCCAAGATGAGGAATTTTGGATAACTTGGCTGGTATTATTTGTTTTGCTAATTTGTTCCTTGAGGTGTAGGCCCAATAGCTCCTTTGGTATTAGGTGGAAGCTTAATCGGTCATGTTTCATATTGGGGTGTAGGCCCAATAGCTCTTTTGGTATTAGGTGGAAGCTTAATTGGTCATGTTTCATATTGGGTACTAAGAAAGACTCGTCACATTTCAGTGTTTGCTACTCCGCATTTTGATGTATATAGGTGAAAAAGAGAATCTATGAAAGTCTGATGTGTTGTGGCATGTGGCAAGCAAAGGTTAACCTATACAAGTCTTTTTTAATAGACTTGTATTTGTTTTGATAATGTGTTTTGTGACAATAGTGTTTTGTGTAGTATCAAGCAATGTGTAATCAAGAAATCAGGTTATTTTTTTACATTTCTTGGATTGTGACTTGTTTTCATTTCATTTCTACTATATAGAGTTCTATTGTCCTGTTTTCTGGATTTACCCCTTTATGTCACTTAGATGTTTCATGAGAGAGATAAGTATTGATGTGCGCTGAGAGATGAATTTTACTTTGTAGTCTTGTTCTTTACTCCTTTATACTTACAAAGTCATCCTTGGGGGTTTTTGATCTCATAAATACCACTACTTTCTTACATTTAAGTTTTTGAGTTATAATCTTCCATTCCAAAGGATTTTGGAGAAATTGGGAAAGCTTTGTGGGGCTTTCTTTGTAACTATAATTTTCTTTCTGGTTTCTTGATTTCTGAGGTTTTATTTTGTTCTGGCTTTTATCACCATACATGTGAATTGAAATATAGCTCTGTTTTATGCAGTGTAGCGTAGAGTAACATTCTGTTCAAAATCAAGCCTCTCTCAAGGGTTTCTTACCATCAATTCAACTTTTCTCTTACAAATGTTTGTTCTACATTTGGGTTTTTGTTTCAGACAATGCACAAGTTTACATACCTGTCTTTAATTTTTTAATAATTCTATATCTCTTTTGACAACTTATTATTCTTGATCTTTTGTTTCCTCTGGTCTTGCAGGAAAGGTAGTTCGTGAGCATTAATCTTCATGCTTTGTATCCTGACGTCTTTACGGGTTCTTGATTTTGTTCTGGCTTTTACCGTCATACATCTCAATTGAAATAAGGCTGTGTTTTATGTAGTGTACTATAGATTAACATTCTGCGTAGTATCAAGCCTCTCTTGAGGGTTTTACCATCAATACTGCTTTTCTCTTTCTTTATTCTTGTTTCTTTGCCATAAAGTTTGTTGTACACAGTGGGGAAGTCCACCAAGAACAGATAAGAACTGAGAACACTACGGATAAATCTAATTTTTTCAATGATTCCTTTTTTGTTATATTTATTTATTTGCTTTGATGTCAGTACATTCTAAATTGACCTCAGAACATGTTTTTCGAGCGTGTTTGTGTAATTAACAACCTTCATTGCAAGACAGTCTCGAGTTTTGATTTTGTCATCTCTTGTAAACTCTTTTCGGTTAATAACTCTTTATAGAGCATATATTTCTTGATTTGTTTTGGTGTTGCAGGAGAGGATATGCTTTCAATTTCTTGATTCGAAAGTTTGCTTGAGTTGTATTCTATTTTCTCTCGGTCCTTGATTCCTTGATTTGTCGGGTAGATTTTCTTGATTTCTTGTCTTATACTTTCTCTTCTTTCTTAAATTTAGGGTTGGTGCTAAACAAGAAAGTTTGCTTGTCCTTTTTTTTGTATGTATAACCATATTTCCCTTGATTCCTTTTACAGGTTAGTTAGTTAGAATTGTTTCTAGTTGCCTTGTTATAGTTATTTCCCATATTTTCTTGACAATTGTCTTATATAAGTATAACAATAAGAGTTTTCTTTCCCAAATAGATGTCTCTCACAGAATCAGCAATATGTATAAAAGAGTTTTCTTTCCCAAATAGATGTCTCCAATATGCTTCTGTTGTGCTTTCATGTGGTGATCTCTTCTCTGACGATTAGTTTTTTGAATTGTTTCGTGAGTTCTATGTGGTGGCCATAACAGGGGAGATATGTTAAGTTCTCCATGTCAAATATTATCAACCACTTGTGTATACTTTGGTCTTACAGGGGATTTTGAAAGTTGTGGTGGCCATTATTAAAGACATGCTTTGAGCGCCCTTGGATAACTGTTCATTTTTCCTTGAACTTGTGTTGTAATAGTTTCTTTTGTATAGCAATGTACTGTGCTAATGTTGATTTGTCGTTTTCAGAATAACAAATCTAATCATTAGAAGATCTTGGATTCATATCCATGTCTCGGATAATCAAAATATGTGTTTGGATATCTAGAATGTTTGAAGATACTTGATACAATGAATAAGAAAGTTGAGTATGATAAATCAAATTTCTTTAATGAGTTGTTCTTTATTATTATTACTAACTTCTCTTAGTAATGCATGCAAATTGAACTGTAAATGCATGCAAATTGAACTGTGAACTTATCCTTCTGGTTCAATCTTCCTCTTCATTGATTGATATTTGTTTTTATATGCACTCCTTTTTCCCCCTTGGTTTACATGGTCTTTTGATGTAGGGGTTTGATCGGGTTCATATTTTAATGGTCTTGTTTGGTAAATCGATTGTCTTCCAATATCTTTTGATAATGTGTAGGTTTTTTTTTTATATAATGCTTCATTTGATAATCAATTAATCGTTCAATACTGTTAAAATTAAAAGAATTTTGACACAAATATCAGTATTATAGCGAGCTGATATCTGGAGCAGTTTGCAGTTATTGATTACAATGGTATGAACGATAATGGTATAGAAATGAGTCGTTCTTTATTATTTTTATTTTTCCGACTGATCACAAGACATTAAATTTGAATTCTAAACTTGTTTTTATGCTGCTTGGGTTTTTCAAAACAATATTCAATGAAGCATGGAGCTTGAGTCAGTTTGATGATTTCTTTTAAAATCTATGTTTTCAATAATTCTTTATTCCTTTTGAAAGCATATTATTCTTGATCTTTTATTTCCTCTGGTCTTGCAGGAAGTGTAGTTTGTGAGAATATTATAACCTTCTTCATAGGACGTGTCGTATACTTCAACATCTTTTGCAGGTAGACTCTTCACATTTCTGTGTTTTTCATACTCAGCATCTACTCTTATCAGTTCCTTGAGATTTGCTATGGAACCTGTGACAAGAAGACATTCACATACTTTGCGTTCATCCCTTGGATAAGATCGGTTATTGTATTACGTACGTGTATTAGTTTTCAGCTTTCTGATAATTTTCTTTTGATGGGATGTCTTGCTACAGTTTGAGTGTTTTTGTTTCTACATCAGGAACATGATAATGAAGCATACAAATATAGAGGAAATTGTAATTTATGATTATGATGATTGATTATACTCCTAAATAATATCCTCTTCCTTGCAGAGGTTAAAGTACTCCTCTTTATTAGGATGAAGCTAAAGTTGTGTCATTTCAAATGGGTACACAATCTTGCGAATTGGATGAAAATTTGTTTCACTGAATCGTCATCTTTTACAGGTTGTGTTGTATACTTCATAGTCTATACTGTCGTTAGGCTTTAATTTGGTCATCTCTACTTAGACTTCACATTTCAAATTTCAATCTTTTTCATACTTAACATCTACTTTATGAGTTCCTTGTGATTTGCAAAGGCTCTACATTTACATACTCCGCATTCTGCCTTGGATAAGATCAATTATTGTATTACATACATGTGTTAGTTTTTGGATGCGCGATACTTTTCTTTTTATGGCATGTCTTGCTACGGTTGGAGTTTTTGTGTTTTCACATCAAGGAGGCAAAATAATAATGTGGCTAGGCAAAATAATTTTTTTCGTAGCGCAGAGCTTCTAGTTTTTATATGTTAATCTCGAGTAACTTTTTCGTATCTGTATTTCTTTATCATTTTTAAGAGTATATAGTTTTTTTTTTCTTTTTCTCTTTGGTGTTTCAAGAGAGGTAACTTTTCGTTTCAATCTTCCTCTTTTTCGATATTCAATTTTTGTAATTCTCTCTTTGTTTTCCTTAGTTACATTGGGTCTTTTGATGTAGGGGTTTGCTGTTTTTTAAGGTAAAGAATTAATTAAAATATTAAAACATAGTTCCTTATAGTCTAGTAATTAATAGAGTTAAAACAATGGAGTATTAATAAATTACGCATCTTATTATTATTATTCTTTCTAAAGTATAAGGAGGTTATTCAAGAGATTATTAATGCGGGCAACATTTGATTTAAATATCTGCGTCTGCTCTTAATTTTGAAAAAGTAATACCATTTGGGAGTTTCTAACACCCTTAGGGGTTTTTAAGGGTTCTTAGTGTTAGAATCGTAAGAAAGTAGAGATGAAGAAATTCTGTTATTGTATTTCTTGCAAAGGTTAATAAGATAACAAGTGTAGAGGTACGGGCATACCGTGTTCGGAAGCATTCAATCAGCCCATGAAATAAAGGCTCGATCCAAGTGATTCCAGCCATCGTGATTAAATCTAATTAAAGATATGATACTGAGCTGGTTCCCGAGTAAAGGAGGCTGCTATGGTTTATGGACAGGCTGTCGATCTCATACCAACTGACAAATAATCAAATGGTTATATCAAGGATGGTAGCATCGGCATCGACAACGAAAATGACGCGATGCCTTTAGTCCTCAATAAATCTCAATATGACACGGTTGTGGAATCTTGTCGATACAAATATGTGGGATGCTATGTACTAGCAGTTCATGCAACCTGTTGATACAGGAGGGTTACGAAGCAAAATTTGGCACCCACCAGAAGGGAGATATTAAGAGATGAGAAACTTCCAGATAAGTCACCATTAGTGATATCTTCGTCCATTAATGAAATAGAGGAATTGGTGTCCGATGAATGCGAGGATTTAGCAGAAGATAAATGCGACATGATCTCGTATTCCATTTCCAAAAATATTGGATTCCCGATGGTGAAGGCTTGACATATCAATCCTTATGGCTTTTTCGGTCCACATTAACTCATAGGATGTCTTCAATTCAGATAAGTTTCTCATTGTCCATTGATTCTAAACGTTATATTTGTTCTCATACTGTGAGGAAATAATTATAGTAACAAACAAATATTGCTAAGTCATTGAAACTAATGTCTCAAGAGCCAATTTGGTTCAGCTAGTTGTTAAATTAAGAAATCAAATGGATCATGATGTTACAGTAGAAATATTGCGAGGAAAATAGACGTGGGATAATATTTCTTCTATACTTTATGCCAACTGTATAAGGGAGAGATGAGGCTAGGTTATAACAAACTCTATGCCAACAGTATAAGGGAGAGATGAGGCTAGGTTATAACAAACTCTATGCCAACTGTATAAAGTAATTACTAGGAAGTTAAATCCTATAACAAGCTATATATATGCATCTGTAATAGTCCTCCTTAAAAGCTGAGGGTGTTTCCAGTAACTGTCTTTTGTTGACAACTCTGAGTTTGTTCTTCAGAAGAAGAACCTTCACAGCAGAAAGAGGTTTTGTCACTGCCTACTGATCCTGGGCCGGCACATGAGCCACAGTTAAGCTTTTATTTAGAACCTTCTCTCTCACAAGAAAGATGTCTAATTCCATGCGCTTAGTTCTGTTATGAAGCACAAGATTGTGAGCTAAAGTTATTGTGCTTAGGTTGTCACAGAGAATTCTAGGAACCTGAAATCTGCATTGAAGTTTATGAAGGAGAGATTGAATCCATAACAATTTTGCAGTCAGTTGAGCCATGCTACTCTGCCTCAACACTGGACCTTGCTACCAACTACTGATTCGTAGACCACCAGAAAATTAGGTTACGACCTAGGAAAACACAAGCGCCTGATGTTTGGGAGCAGGTTGAAGTAACAAATCATGATATAGTGTGCCACTGAGATACATGAGTATTCTCTTAACTGCTTTCCAATGCTCCTCCAAAGGATTTGACAAGAATTGACACATTTTGTTAACAAAATAGGACAGCTCAGGCCTAGTTAAAGTAGCATACCGCAGGGCACCAACAATAGATCTATATTGTGTAGGATCAGCGACAATAACAGAATCAAATTTAGATAATTTGCTGCTAGACACTATAGGGGTAGGCATGCCATTAGCAGTAGCCATGTTAACTTTTGCAAGTAAATCAGTAATATACTTGGTTTGTGAGAGAATAAGAGATCCATTTGGCATATGAGTGACCTCAATCCCAAGAAAGTAGTCTAGTTACCCTAGATCCTTGAGAGCAAACTGACTATTGAGACTCTTGACTAGGCTAGCAATAAAGATGGTGAATTTCCAGTGATGATTATATC